AAAAAAACCCACCTTCTTCATCAGCGTCACTACCTATATTAACGTCTGTACCCAGATAGATGTTGTCAAGATCTGCGTATTTCATTCTTTTCCATCCCCGTGCAATATTCCATCCGCAAGAGTCTATTGCTGCGTCGCACGGACGGTCATCTAACGAAATATAAAAGAACGCTAGGTAATAACTATTGTATTCATTGGTAGTGGTGGTGGTACTAGTAGTGAGAGTTGTAATGGTAGCAGAAGTAGTAGCAGTTATAGTAGCAGTAGTAGTAGTAGTAGTAGTAGTAGTAGTAGCAGTAGCAATAGTAGTAGCAGTAGCAGTAGCAGCAGCAGTAGCAGTAGCAGTAGTAGTAGTAGTAGTAGTAGTAGTAGTAGTAGTAGTAGTTGTAGTAGAGATAGAGGTAATGGTTGCTGTTGTCATTCTTCCTGTAGTGCCGATAACGAAGCCAGTAGGTTTGCCAGGATATTCCTTCATTACCTCGACAACCATACAGCTCTACTCGCATCGATATATGACTATACCAGGACACTGGTTGAAAGCGGATGAAGCGTGCTGTAATGGGTGGGTTAAGTTCATTATAAACAACAGAATTCCGGTCTTTGTTTCCATCAAAAACCTGTTTAAAAAAATTAATGAATAAGAAAATAGAAGAATAAAAAATCTCTAATTTGCTTTAAGCTTATAGAACTAGAGGTTACCTCATAGTGCCTGGAAGACCTTACGTCTCGTTTGCAAAGGTAAAAGTGACATTAATACAGACTAAACATTGTTATAATGATTTCCTGATTCTTTATCTTTAAAAAAACAAAACAAAACAAACGAACTAAAACAAATGCCACCTTCTCTGCTGTATCTCCTTCTCCTCGATAGAAGTGGAACGTTTCACCATCCTCACTGTACTGCAGCTTGTATTTCGTTACCCACTGGCTGGTATCAGGTCTTCCTTGTGTAGCAACACGGGTCACATTATTATTTTGATCAAGAAGGTCAATCTGAAGCCATTGACTGGAATTATTATTGCCAGCCGACCAAGATCCTCTTGAACCTCCGGTTGCGTTATATTTCAGTCTTCCTTGCATGGCGGCATGAGCATTGTCCAGTTGGGAAGAAGAACTCAATTGGCCGTCTGTTATTGCGCCATGTTCTATGCCGAGAGGTTCAAGACATTCTATAGGTTTTACGAAAACAAATTTTATCTTCAGAAGATCATGGTACATGATCAAATTTTATTGTTGCGTGAACAAGCACCAAGATGCTCGACCTTGCAAACCACTTAGCATTTTAAACAATGACGCGATGTCGATCGCCTACAAGCGATGCATTTAGCTTTTTACCTTGTCCTCCATTCTTACCTTTACAGCCGTAAAGCTCTATCCTCATTGACACGTGGTTAAACCAAGCTTGAGGTCGAAAGCGGAAGAAGCGCGCCTTGATGGGTAGGTTTAGTTCATGAAAAACGATGGTGCTTCTATCTGAGTTACCATCAAACTCCTAGGAGAAAGAAGCGGAAAAGTGTTAATAACCTAATGATATAATTATGTTCCTTTAAATACTTTTGACACTGCCATTCAATCGGCAGTATGAACAATTTTTATCCTAATATCTGTCTCGAAGTTTTTTCATCTTTTATTTTGAGGCGGTTGACATAGGGGACAATAGCGGAATACTGGAATATATAACATAGCATACCAACAGGTAGATTACCAGATTACTTCGCAGATTAACGAAAACTTATTTCAACCCATGAGATTTTTTCACCTTGTCTATATTTGTTCCTCTACCCCTGTAAAATTGGAGTCTAGCTTCATGGTTGCCATACTGCAACTTGAATTTGGTTACCCATTGGCTAGCATCATCTCTCCCCTGTGTTCCTACACGCGTAACTTTAGCGTACTGACTACCTAGATCCACCTGAAGCCATTGTTGAACATCATTTGTCTTAGCTGACCAAGATCCGACTTTAGAACCTCCTTTAAAGTTCAGCCTGGCTTGAGACGCAGCATGGTTATCATCCCAGATGGAAGAGGCTATGATTTGTGCATCAGAGATTGCACCATTTTCCATGCCAAGAGCTTGTCGACAGTCTGATATGTTGATGGATACTGTGGGTATGAAAGACAAGGCCTGAGGGGCTTTAATGAAAGGTAAGATGTATGCAAACATTTTTGGTCTTTTTTTCCCTACTTGTTGCTACTAATCTGCATGTAAGATTCTCCCCTTCAAAAACAAAACTTCTAAGTAAAATTTTTAATGCTGTTTCCCTTCCCTAAATTGTCAACTAAGTTGATTGAATCAAATCATCGTATTTTCCATTAGCTTGGTTTTGCAACAAAGAGAGGTTTTAGCAAATTATAATTACAGTGTATGTATTGGAAACGAGACCACCAACTAAAAAAGACCACTTATAAGGCTATTTTTAATACGTAACAATTTAAACATGTTCCGCGCACCTCGTCTAAATGAATGTAAATACAGTCCTTACCCCCACTGACGTCTTCCAAACAACCATAGAGCTCTGTCCTCATAGAAACGTGGCCAAACCAGGCTTGTGGTCTAATTCGGATGTATCGAGCTTTTACTGGTGGGTTGATTTCATTGTAGACAATTGTATCCTGGTCTCTGTTTCCATTAAAAAGCTGAATGAAAAAGCAGAAAATATAAACATGTGTTATCAAGAATTCTTCAGGAACAAAATAGAATTCATCTCTCAATTTAGTATAGATGTGGAGTGACGTAACGGTGCACCTCTTCAGTTTTGATCTCTATCCAGGCTATATAACTCGTTTTTTAATTTAAACGTACCCAAAATTCGCTTTAAAAACTGCCATTTTTTTTCAATTTTTTCGGCAGCTGTTTGTGAACCACAAGTTTTGCTTCCCGCCATTTGGGTCGAACTTTGGGAATATTTTGCAGATCAAGCGGGGAGCAGGGTCCAGATTCTCCTTCCAATATGGCAAGGGAAAATTTTCGCAATTCTTATGGCACCAAAATTCTTATAACCATTGGATCGCACCTTACAACCCAGCTGGATAATTTAATTTTAAATGTAAACCTGATTGGCCATTGGTCCAGGTTGCGAACTGGGTCAAAGCGTCAAAGCCATTCATATTCTTAACGGTATAGTGAAACATCTTCTTTTATGGAACGTCCAAATTCGATATAACGCTTCAAAAACTAAATAACATTTGCATAACAAAAAGATCAGTTTCTAATGCTTAAACTCCCTTCCATGTCGAAAAAGGACGCTAGGGGTTAAAATGCAATATTGACCTTTTCTTTCGGTTCTCCAGCTTCTTTGTGAGGTTGGAAAATTTTACCATCATTGCTGTACCACAAAGTATACCTTGTCACCCATTGATCGTGCTTATTTCTGCCTTGTGTGGCTATTCGTGTAACTTTCATGTATGGAGTAAACAGATCAATCTGGAGCCATTGATTTCTATCATTAAATCGCGATGACCACGATCCTGCTTTCCATTGCCTTTTATAGTCTAGTCTACCCTGCCAGGCGTCATGGTGTACATCCCAACGTGAGGAAGCGCTTATCTGTCTATCAGGAATTGCACCATTTTTCATGCCCAGAGCCTCCTGACATTCTGGCGGTATACCAAAAATTGACAGAAATAAGCGGTTTAAAACCGTCCATTATATAATGTGTATGACGGAGGCCCTAGAAATCTCATATAAATGAATGAAGGCTGATAGTTTCTAAAGAAACTGTTTGGGGCTGCGTCGGTGAGGGTAACGAAATAATTTGTATATATCAACAACGTTGAAATGGTAAATTGTGCCACCGCAACGATTACAAAAGCTGACGTTTCGAGCGTTAGCCCTTCGTCGGAGCGAATGGAGGAATTGTGGGTTGTGTGTGCTTTTAAAGGCAGAAAATGGAGCTACGTTATTGGTGGGAAAATGGCAACGAGAAAATCACGAGTAAATGAAAAGCGTTCGTTGATGCAATTTTCCCTTTCGTAAACGGCCGTTGCCATTTAAAACGG